TCCACTTCAGTGGACCTGCTAAATCGGGAAACTTCCCAATTTAGAAAGTTCACTAAATTCCGCATGTCTCTCTTTCTCCACGTTTATTCCGACTCGTAATCCACAATCACGAATCTTGGACTCAATCATATTGACCTCCAACTTTGCAAAGATTAACATATTAACCTATGCTCATTGTTATCAAGGATCCGTATTACACGAGAAGTGTGACCCTCAATGGTTCAGGTGTATGCTAGCCGTGGGCTCACAACACTTTGTGATTCGAACAACACATTGTTCTTATACGAACTCCTCCCAAGAGTCCTGATTAGAGTAAAACTCATTTTACTTATTCGCCAATCAAATCGGTGCCCAACGAATCAAGATTGGCATCTAGCAACTACGCATCATGATTCCCTAGATACAAGTGAAGTGCCTGCAAGAACCTTATGATATAGTTAGCGTACAGTACGATCCCTTCGCAGCACATGTCCCGATTGAACTAGAGGCATTGGTTCACCGAGACCTCTTATAAAGTTCAATAACCGTGCGAACGTTCTAGGTATTATAAATCCGTTCGTGTGCGACTTAGGGAAACACATTTCCCTAATCACCCCTCTATCAACTCTGGCCAGAGATTCCTTGGATTATAAACCGTCAGAACACACAGGACATCCATGACTACTCAAGCGCTCGGATCCCCTACTACAATGCACAGACTTCACACTAGATTTCGGATTGCACGAACGTTGGCCCTTGAAGTGGTCTGCTGTGGGACTCAGGGACAGGTCACGATACAATCGGTCCTCTAGTGAAGTCACGGTGATGTCTGGGTCTTAAGGACTAATGGTGTACAACTATATCTTAGAAACCTATTACTCGATGAATGAGAACCACTTATAGAGTTCTAGGGCGAGGGAGTTCAGTGAACTCATCTAGTATGAGCACCCACTCAAGTATGCCGATGTCACAACACCGAGGACTGATGAGACGCAGTACACATACACTAAGTGCTAGTCTCAAAAGGGAAAGGCCGGTATCCTCATTATTGGCGTAACCCATCGACTAGGAACAAGGTTTAACAGTTACATTACATTGCTGAGTTATCTCACGATTCTACTAGATCAACTCACAGTAATAGAGTAACTCGTTAGGACTATATCTATGCTGCTTGCATGGGATAAGAGATATAGAATGCCAAATGAAATATTTAATTAGTACGAACGAAAAACGATTATTTTATTACAAGGAAAAAGAGAAAGACCACAACCACAAGTTGGCTTGTTGGTCACCTACTCTAACAGGTCCACGAGAAACATCGAGAGTCGATGGGATTGCGATTCATGGGTAGTTGTCTTTGTTAGAGTAGGTGACCAACAATCCAACATGTGGCTGTGGTCTTTCGTATTTATTATGGTAATAAACGAACCTTTATTCGTATTAATGATAAAACACCTTGGCATTCTATATCTTTGTCCCTTTGTCACAAGCATAGATATAGTCCTTACAGTTATTACAAGTACTAGTAATTGATCGTTAGGATCGTGAGATATTTACTTAAATATTATAATTGTTAAACGTGTTCCTAGTCGAAGGGTTACGCCACCAATGAGGATATCGGCCTTTCCCATTAAGAGACTAGCACTTAGTGTATGTGTACTACATCTCATCAGTAAATGGTATTGTGATATCGGCATGCATAAGTGGGTGGTCGTAAGTTGACGAGTTCACTGAGCTCCCTCACCCTAGAAATCTCTAAGTGGTTCCCAATAATCGAGTAGAGATATCTATGGTATAGTTTTACACCATTAGTCCTTATGACCCAGACATCACCGTGACTTCACTATAGGACCAGCTGTATCGTGACCTGTCCCTGAGTTCCACCGAGGACCATCCCAAGGGCCAGTGTTCGTGCAATCCGAAATCTAGTGGGAGGTCTGTGCATTGTAGTCGGGGATTCGATCGCTAGAATAGTCCTGGATGTCCTGTGTGTTCTGATAGTTTGTAATCATTCTAAGTCTCTGGCCAGAGCTGACTAAGTGATGATTAGAGAATTCGATTCTCTAAGTCATGCACGTAACGATTACAACACTTAGAACGATCGCACCGTCATTGAACAAATAAAGAGGTCTCGATGAACCAATGCCTCTAGTTCAATCGGGACATATGAATCGAAGGGATCGTACTGTACGTTAACTATATCTGAAGGTTCTTGCAGGCACTTCATTTGTATCCAGGGAATCATGACGCGTAGTTGCTAGACGCCAATCTTGATTCGTTTGATGATTAAGGTGAAACGAGCTTCATCTTAATCGTAACTCTAAGGGACGAGTTTTGACCACAAAGGGTTGTGGGCCCACGACTAGCTTACACCTGAACCATCGAGGGTCACACTGCTCGTGCACATAAGATCTTTGAATAAACGGTCAGAGATAAAATGGTTTATCTTTGCATGATTGGAAGTCAATATGATTGGGTTCAATATTCGTAATTTTGAATTATGAATGAGAATAAGAAAAGGAAAAGAATAGGCAAACATATTAGTGGACTTTCTAAATCGTGAAGTTTCCAAATTTAGAAAGTGCACTGAATTAGGGTTTCCACTTTTGGAAAGTTGGAAATCGAGAGTTGGCACTCGTAATGACGAGGACAATATAATTATTCCGAAAATGTAATTGTTACAGTTTTCCGATCATCGAATTGAGAGAGATGAGCAAGTAAAAGAACTAACGAACTTCAGCTGTTGGGCCTGGTCCAACTTAAGCCCGTTAGGGTTTTATGCAAGACACTCTAAATACTTGATTTATAGGTGTTACACATAAGACAATACACGAACTAACCCTAGCCGCTCCCTTTCTCGCTCGGCCATCTTCTCCCGCCGCCACCACCGCCGTCGCCGCCGCCAACTCGCCGGAATCGGCCACCCCTTGGCCCATCCCTTTGGTAATTCTTTCCTTCTTTATATTCTTTCGTTTTTCTAACTATTACATGTCAGTGCCACGTATTTAGTAGATCGAAGTATACAAGGTGAAATCCGAGAGGAGGAAGATTGAAGAATGGAAGATGCGAGAACGCAATTCTGAAAAACTGCTCTCGGATTTTCTGCGCTGTCCAGCGAGAAAATTCGCCATAAATCAACCGATGATCGGATGGATGCAAAATTTTGAAAGAAGCTTCAAGACTCATAAATATACAATATTTCAGAAGGACTTGTCCATCCAGTAAACAAGAATGGATATATTGAAGTCGGAGCAAGACTATAATTTCAGATCAGCAAACAAGTTGGATCAATAGGTGTTGGAAGAGCAGCTAGCCATCTTCTCGAGTCTTCATTCGATTCACGCTTCAAGGACAGCGTGTGAATCACACGCGCCGTCATAGCTCGGATCATCGCCGTTGCTGCCCCAGATTGCACGGATTGGTTTCCGTGGCAATCTTGCTTCGACTAGTGCGTCTACCTCACACTTCAAGAGGTAATAATTCGAATCTGTGTTTATTCGAGTAGTTTTTATTTAAATTAAATATGCATGTTCGTTAGTAAACAAACTTGTATGATTTTATGTGACTACATGAAATTTTTTAAATTACTGCGAGCATGATTATTTGATTTAAACGCGAGCATGCGACTTGATTTAATTTCGATTAAGTAATTAAGCATGCATGTTGTTTTTAATTTCGCTGGAAGCGCAAAGGTACGCAATTAATTGCTTTCAATTATCGGGCATGTGTCATTTGGGACTCGGAAAATTCTTCGCATTCCTCTTGGGTTCCTTTTATAGGACGAACAAATCCTTTAAGTGGTTGAGAATTTGATCGCTTCTCATCAATTGGTGTTAGGGGCAACATCAAATCTTTCAAAGCCTCACACGCTAATGGAGCCTTGTCTTGATTATTTCTCTCCTTTGGTTCTTCAACTGGTATAATTTCTTTGGTCTTTACCGTCTTCTCATCATCAAGATAGTACTTAGCATCGGCAAAGTGGGCTTCTGCCTCGGTGAACGGTTTATCATCGGCGAGTATTATTTTAACTACTCCGTCTCGACAATATTTGAAACATTGGTGCCAAGAAGAAGGAACCACACTATTCTCATGTATCCAAGGTCGTCTGAGAAGCATGCGATATGATGTTCTTGCATCAATGACATGAAACAATGCGCTGGATAACATATCGTCCATTAACAACTCTATCCTTATGATACCAAGGGCCCTTTGTCCTTCTTGATTAAATCCTTGGATCATCAAGCAACTTGTTTTGAGCTCACTCGTAGAGATCCCCAATTCCTTTAAAGTGTGCAACGGAAGAATATTGACTGCAGAACCTCCATCGATTAAAATTCTGTTCACCTTCTGCTCACGAGCGTAGCTGGCAACAAACAATGGCATGTTGTGTGGTTTGGAACCAAGAAGTAAATCTTCATCAGCGAAAGTCATTGTTGACATGCATTTACCAATCACGGTACAAACTTCATTTGAAGACGGAGTTGTTCCACTAGAAGCGATCTCCTTTTCAATTATCGTGTTGCATGAGATGTTGATACGATCATCATCTCATTCGTGTACGTTCGTTGTCGTCATGTCAAGGGACTCAAAATTGCTAACGATAAAATTTGTAGTGGCGCTGATCTCTTCAAGTGATATCTTCCCTTGGCGAGCTAGCTGCATAATTCTATCTTTGAATACGAAGCAATCATGAATTGGGTGCCCGACCAATCAATGATACTTGCAGTATTTTGGGTCATCGGTCTTGCTAGCTTCTTCGGGGCGCTTCATTTCAGGCAACTTGATAAGTTTTAAACTTATCAAATCGTCAAATATTACAGCCACGTCAGTGTCGAGGAATGGGTACTCCCTTGCTTGCATTTCTTTTAGGGTAAGTCTTTTTTCTCTTATTTCTTGGGAAAAATCTTGTTTTTTCTCATTGTTTCCGTCCATTTTTCCTTGAAATTTGATAGGGGTTGCATTCACTGCCAAAGATTCTTTGCTTGAGGTCTTAGAGAAAACTCTACCCCCTTCCGAAAGTCTTATTTTTCTTTCGACTGTCGAGGCTCTTGAACTGGTGGTCCCTCAACTCCACCATCCATAATGCTCAACTCTATGCCGTGCGCTCTAGTGGCCAACTCTTCGAAAGTTTTAGGTTGAATCCCTTGCAGGATATATCGGAGTCCCCATTGCATTCCTTGAATACACATCTTGATGGCTGAAGCCTCTGACAATCGATCCTTGCAATTCAGGCTGAAATTCCTCCAACGGTTAATGTAGTCAATGACAGCCTCTTCTTTCCACTGGCGAGAATTCGTGAGCTCAATCATGCTCACTGTTCTTCGGGTGCTATAGAAGCGATTCAAAATATCTTGTTCCATCTGACTCCAACTGTCAATTGAGTTTGGTTCTAGGTTCGTATACCAATCGAAAGCATTCCCCTTCAATGATCGGACAAATTGTTTAACGAGATAGTCTTCGAAAGTCCCGGCATTGTTACAAGTTTCAACTAAATGTGCCACATGCTGTTTTGAGTTGCCCTTGCCATCAAATTGCTGAAATTTCGGGGGTTGGTAACCAATTGGCATCTTCAAGTCGTCTATTCTTAGAGTATATGGCTTGGTGTATGTTGACGACGATTTTGAACCCTCATCGAATTTGTCTTTGATAGTCCCCATGATGACCTCCTTCAATTGGTCTATAGGAATTAACCTCTCTGACGAAATCTGGAATTCTTCAGTCGGGCTCTTCTCCCTTTCGATTGGATGTCGTCTGCAGAAGTTTCAGCTTCGGTGTGATTTTCACTTTGTTTTTCCATGTCGTGACTACCGTCAACTTTGTTCCGCAACATCGCGATTTGGGAATCTTGTTCTTGAATGTGCTTTGTTAGCCCTTCAATGGCCTTGGTCAAGATCGCCATCTGCTCCTCCATGGTCGTAGCATGTGTTGTCATGATGGGGGCCACCTCAGAGTAGTTTGATGTTGAAAGGGACGTGGATGATGAAGCTTCTCCTCTAGATCCTTCCGCGTCTTCACCTGTGTTGACTAGAGGTGATGAGCCTTTCTCAATGATTTGCGGTGTCGAGCTAGTCTCAGAGGATGTCTGCAGTTTCTTAGCCATACTCCTTGTAACTACGCCCACACTTGATGAATTCGAAGTACCAGCCTTCATCGTGAACATAGAGCAACTACTGCAATCCTTTGAGGATCTTCGAGAGAGAGATGAGATGAGAGGTAGAGAGGTCCCACCGGGCGTGCCAAAATATGTAGCAACAAATTCTTATCTGCGATATAAACAAACAAGAAAAATTGAACAGAGACAATTTTATTGAATTAAAATGAATAAATTGCGGGTTACAATCTCTATTTTAGTCTCTCTAGAACAATATATTGTTAACTTGAATTTTATTGAATTAAAATATATTGTTCTCTCTAGAACAATATATTGTTAACTTGAATTTTCGGAGTCGGGTCGTTAACTTGATCTTCTCCGGATTTGATTTTGGATTTGAATAACGTTTTCCAAGGGTCTTGCGACTTGAATCTCGGAGCAAACGTCGAACTTTGACTAAATTTGACTTCAAGATCTTGAAATTCTTGATGGATTTGGCCCTTCAATCTTCCAATGATCTTGACTTGAATTGATCAACGTTAATACGAAGGTTTGGCACCGTTATCTCGGATCGAACTCTGGATTTGATGAAGAACGCCTTAAATTTTCTCAAGAACACCTCGAATTTGACGAAGAACACTTTGAATGTAGAGAGAGAGTCTTACCTCCTACGAATTCTTCTTCCTTTCTTCTTGAATTGTAGAGATAATTTTGCTCCTACGGTTTCCGCTCCTTCAGTTGTGTTTGAATTGTGAAGGGAGGGTCCCTATTTATAGTGGTAGAATAAGAGTCCTTGATGGGCCTTCTTGATGATGTGGCGGGATTTGATTGGCCTGATTTAAATTGATATTTATCTCTTCTAACATGACAGAGAAGAAACAATTCTATTGGCCAATAATGAATTGATATTTATCTCTTATAATTTTGGAAGAGAATAAATAATTCCACTGGCAAATATATATTTAAAATCAATTATCTATTTAATTTAGGAATTAATTTAATCAAATCTCTAGATTTAAAATAGAAAATATTTAATTGATATTGAAATATAGATATTAATATACGGCATATAATCTTGATTTGATTTGTATTCAAATGTTTAATTATGGAATTGCCATAAGCCATAGAATTTAAATAGAATTCCTTGTCTCGTAATTGCACAATTGTCCCTTTCTTTTAGATAAAATTCATTTATCTACAAGTGGTAATAAATTCGTTAAGTAATGGATAAAAAGGGGTACATGATTGGCAAACATATTTAAGTATTAAATGGTGACATATTATATGTGTTTGGCAGGATGTGTATATATGTGTGCCGTGTGTGTGGCTGTGTGTGTATACATATGTGTGAATTATTGCATAAGTATGTGATAAGTTATGGTAATCGTGTGATTATATGGTACTTAATTGATATTTGTGGTGTTATGTGTGAATTGCATAATTAGTGTGACAAAAGCATAATTTTGGAAAAAAATTACATTTCATTGTTTTGAAAATTAAAAGATTAATGGAATGCTTAGTGAATAAAAGGGATACGGTGGGCCGGTATCCGACTAGGACGAAATGCATGATTTGATTCCACAATAACACGGGCTCGAAACGCTTTATAGTTTATTGCTAGGCACATTAATGCTTAGTGAATAAACGGGATACGGTGGGCCGGTATCCACCTAGTATGAAATACATGGTTGATCCTACAATAGAACGGGCTCGAAACGCTTTATAGTTTATTGCTAGGCATAGAAATTAATCTTTCACGGATCCGAGAAATGAAAATGTTTTTACACGGATTTTCATTAAAAAAGGGCATTTAAGTCATTTTGCATAAGTAAGTGTTTATGTGTGAATGATGTGTTTTCGTGAATTAATTGATTAACCGTCTTTCTTGTGTTGTTTGGAACGTGAGTAAGGATAGCTATATAATACTTTATATTATATATAACGTATTTTCAATGTTCGATAATTCATCGGATTTCTTACTGAGCTTTATAGCTCATATAGATGCGTTTTAATTGCAGGTAATAGTAACCCTCCACCGGAATGGATCGAGTAGCGGATCGAGGTCTTGCTCGGGATTTTTGGAAGTTGTACGATGACCTATGAACGATGCTAAAGTATTTTGGTTTTTGGTGATGTAATAGTAAACCTAAGTATTTCCCTTTTTGGATCTTTCGAACTCGAATCCGGTATGAATCGTACTTGACTTTTTATTACAAAATAGTCGGTTTAGTAAATTTGTTATTTCCACGTCTCTCTAGTGGTTTTCAAAATATTCACCAAGAAACCTTTTCAAAACTCTGATTTCTTTTCGAACCAAGATCGATAGTTGATAGTGTAGCGCTCGAACGAAAATCCTCCTAAGAAAGTTTTCGAAAATCACAAAAGGTTTTTAATGTCCTAATGAAGAGATTTTAATAATTTCATTTTAGTCCCATTCCAAAGTTTTAAAAATTACAAAGAGATCCTTTTGCTTCTGCTAGATAAATGAATATTCCGATAAACCGGTTCGATTTATCGCCTGATAAGAAGGGGGTGCTTAAGGGTGGTATCAGAGCATGGTTCATAGATACTCGTACGAACTTCACGGGTTTGAAGACTACTCGATACGCGAAGCTCGGACCATTTGGTAAATTATGTGAATTAATATTTTATGTGGTTTGCTTGATATACGTATTAGTTGTGAATTAATATAGAAATAATGGCGAGACGTATAACCCGAGGAAACTCGAGCACTCTTCCGATGAACCACAAGACCACAATCAAACCATTAATAATCTCTCAAGCTTAATCGGAGAACAAGCCCAAAACCACCAACGCCAAATCGAACAACTCCTCCAACGCAACCAAACCCGCCTCTAAATAATGCATCCCAAGACATATACGAACGATTCCTCCGAACGAACCCATCTGAATTCCACGGTGGCACCGATCCCGTTATAGCCGAAGAGTGGATCAAATCTCTCGAAGTCATCTACCACTACATGCAAATGACCGACCGCGACCGCGTGCACTGTGCCATATTCCTACTCCGAAACGAGGCTCGTCACTGGCGGAAAGGAATCAAAGAAGGAAGGAACCTCGAAACTTTGCCATGGACCAATTTCAAAGTCCAATTTTTCGAGAAAATTTTCTCGAAGGACGTGCGAGCTCACAAACTCAAAGAATTCCTCGAAATCCATCAAGGTGACTTACCAATGATCGAACACATCCATCGTTTTGAACGTGGCTACCTCTACGCTCCATTCATTGCTCGAGACGCCGAGGAGAAGAAGAACCATTTCATTCGTGGCCTCCAGCCCGAAATCCGCAGAGACATTCATATGTCCGACGCTTCGACTTTCCGACAACTAGTGGACAGAACCCTCATGGCTGCCCAGGACAAATGAGACATTAAAAACAGCCGCCGACCTCGAGGAGTTACTCAACGCCCGTGGAAAAAGGGTAACTTTGGCAACCGCCCATTTCATGGAAAAGAAATTCAGCCCGTACGCCAGCCAACCGGACCACTACCACCGCCACCACCGTCGAAACCAATATGCCCGAAATGCGGGAAAGGACACTTTGGAGTCTGCACCTATGGAACGGGTAACTATTTTCGATGCCAAAAGCCCGGACACAAGGCACGAGACTGTCCGAATGCTCCGAACACCGTCCCTGGCCGTGTATTTGCCATGACTCAAGAACAAATTGAGAAGTATCCCTCTATGATAGCAGGTATCATATTTATCCTCGAAGAACCCATATATGCTCTACTAATTATTTTATGTCAAACGATGCAATTACGCACTTAAATCTCAAACCTAGTCGATTAAGTTATGAATACCGAATTCTCGTTCCCTCCGGCGAAGAAATGTGCTCAAACCTAGTAGTACCCAACTGCCCGATCCGAGTACACACTCATCCTATGAACTTTGATTTAATCCTCTTGCCAATACAAAACTTCAAAATTATACTAGGCATGGATTGGTTAACCAAATTCAAAGCCCAAATCGATTGTGCCTCAAAAACGGTTATTTTTCCTCTTTCGAACGGCGAAACCCTAAAATTCCGAAGTCAACCCAAAACCTCGATTCGAATCATTTCTGCAATCAAGGCAGTCAAACTTATTCACAAGGGTCATTCTGGGTACTTAGTGGATATTCTAAAATCCGAACCCAATACAAAAACTCAAATTTCCGACATTCGAGTTGTCAAGAATTTCCCGATGTATTTTCCGGTGATATTCCCGGACTTCCACCCGACCGATAAATTGAGTTCGAAATCAATCTCATCCACTGAGCTACGCCAATTTCCAAAGCCCCGTACCGTATGGCCCCGATGGAATTGAAAGAGCATAAGGACCAAATTCAAGAATTACTCGACAAAGGTTATGTTCGACCCAACCATTCCCCGTGGGGCGCACTGGTTCTCTTCGTAAAAAAGAAAGACGGATCTCTTCGTCTTTGTATCGATTACCGTGAACTCAAAAAAATCACAATCAAGAATAAGTACCCTCTTCCTCGAATCGATGATTTGTTCGACCAACTCCAAGGCTCATCGGTCTTCTCTAAAATCGATCTTAGATCC